CCATTCTATTGTTTTCTTCTATTACTTTGCACTGTTCATTCAGGAAGGCCTCCTTATCTCTCCTTGCTGTTCTCTGGAAATCTGCATTCAGTTGGGTAAATCTTTCCTTTTCACCTTTGCCTTTTGCTTTCCTTCTTTCCTCTGCTATTTGTAAAGCCTCATCAGAAAGCCACTTTGCTTTCTTGCATTTCTTTTTCTTTGGGATGGTGGTGATTGCTGCCTCCTGTACAATGTCACGAACCTCCGTCCATAGTTCTTCAGGCACTCTATCTATCAAATCTAGACCCTTGAATCTATTCTTCACCTCTACTGTATATTCATCAGGGATGCAATCTAGGTCAAACCTGAATGGCCTAGTGGTTGTCCCAATTTTCTTCTGTTTAAGTCTGAATTTTTCAATGAGTAGCTCATGATCTGAGCCACAGTCAGCTCCAGGTCTTGTTTTTACTGACTGGATAGAGCTTCTCCATCTTTGACTGCAAATTATATAGTCAATCTAATTTCGGTGTTGCCCATCCGGTGATGTCCATGTGTTGAGTCGCCTCTTAGGTTGTTGGAAGAGGGTGATCGCTATGACCAGCGTGTTCTCTTGCTTCATTTTGTTCTCCAAGGCCAAATTTGTCTGTGATTTCGGTTACCTTTTGACTTCCTACTTTAGCATTCCAATCCCCTATGATGAGGAGGACATCTTCTTTTGGTGTTAGTTCTATGAGGTGTTGTAGGTCTTCATAGACGCAGTCCACTTCAGCCTCTTCTGCGTCAGTGGTTGGGGGATAGACTTGGATTACTGTGATGTTGAATGGTTTGCCTTGGATTCGGACCGAGATCATTCTGCCGTTTTTGAGATTGTATCCCATTACTGCCTTTCTTGTTGACGATAAAGGCCACACCATTTTTTCTATGGGATTCTTGGCCACAGTAGTAGATATAATGGTTAATTAGATGGGAGACCACTAAGCATATCCAGGGTTGGTTTGCCAAGGCAGGCAATGGCAGACCACCTCTGAAGGTCTCTTGCCTTGGAAACCCTAGAGGGTCACCATATGAACCTGGCCGTCAAGTAAAACTTCAAAGCCTGTGTGTCTCCATTCTCTAGGGAAAAAAAATTAGGAAAGGGAACACCAGAGGCAGGGCCTTCTCTGTGGTGGGTCCCCAACTCTATTCAGAAATTTGCACAACTCCAAAACTGGTGCCAGGCAGAAAACAAAAACAAAAACAGTTTCTGTTTTCCTCCAGGCTTGCTAGCAAGTTTGGCTTTTTAGTCAGTGGATGATATCTGTTAAATTGCATCGTGGCTGGGTGGATGGATGCTTTGACCCAGGGGTCATTTAGTAGAAAAAGAGGTGCAGGAGCTCATTAGCATAACTTATTTGCATATTACACACCCCCTGACCTCCCCGGAAGTGTGTCAGAAGGCAACGCCCACCGCTCAGGCGCCACTGGACTGTTTTGGATTGCTAGCTATTGGGGGGGGGGAACGTGCAGATCTGCCCTCGCAGAGGAGGGAGAGCTTGTACCTGAATAAAACTTGGTCTTAAAGGTGCCGCTGGACTGTTTTGGACCGGGGCCAGGGCAGGGGTGGGGGCGGCTCTGCAACTTACCTGGCTGCTTCTTGCTCTGACTGAGGGCTGCTGGGAGCAGGGGGCGGGGCTTGTTGCATCTGCCTGCCCCTTGGGCTCTTTACTGCCGGAGCTCCCCTCCTGTGCGCTCCTGCAGGAAATGACCCCTGCTTTGACCGATGTTTTGTTGCACAACGAATCAATGATTTCACTGGGGTTTCACTGCTGGTTTTGGCTTTTTGCGGTTGTTTCCTCTCTTTAATTTGCACATTTGGAAACTGCCTTAGAAGCTGAGCAGCTGAAAGGCGGGCTGCATAGATTTTTAATGAATAAAATGCATAAAAATACAGGAATACATCCGTTATGTTGGAGACCGGAGCCGAACACCTTCCTATTCCAGCTGCTCTCTTGCCCGGGGAAGTGAGTGATGCTCCGTTCTCTTGGCCGTGCTCTAAGGGAAATGTTTACCCAGCATGCCCCAGGCTCCCATCCAGAAGTCGACACTTTTTTGACTCCCCAGCAGTGGCCTGAAGACAAGGGGCGGAGGCGAAATTCGAAAGCAGCGTTTACATTCCTCGCTGCGTTCCGTTTCCGGGAGTGGCGTGATTGATTCTCTTCTGCTGTGCCGTAGAAAGAGAACAGAACGATCCGGGACAAGAAACGCTATTGTAGACAGTCCAATATGGAAGTAGAGCCGCCAAGACGGCAATCAATTGTGGGAGAAATGCCGGACGCCAAGCCGGAGAGTGACACTTGATTTGGTCAAGCCTCCTTTGTTTGGAAGTGTGCATTTTTTCCAAGGCTTGCTCTGGCTGTTTTTCCAGGTCCTGTCTACTTCATTTGGAGACACCATCATCTTTTATTTTTTAATTTTTTGTTGAGAAAATTTATGTTTATTTCAAACAAAACAAACAAACAAACAAAACACATACATTGGGGGTTCCACTTTTGTCATATCTGTTACAAGGGCCAAGGTGGCTCAAGTGGTTAAGACGCTGAACTGCAGACCGGAAGGTCGGTAGTTCAGCGGTTCGAGACGGAAGTGCTGTGCAACGGAGTGAGCTCCCGTCTCTGGTCCCAGCTCCTGCCAACGTAGCAGTTCGAAAGAAAGAAATTGCAAGTAGATAAATAGGTACCACTTTGGTGGGAAGGGAACAGCGTTCCGTGCACCTCGGCGTCCAGTGATGCTGGCCACATGACCACAGAAGCGTCTCTGGACAGCGCTGGCTCTTCGGCTTGGAAACGGAGATGAGCACCGCATCCCTAGAGTCGGATCCCTAGAGTCGACTGGCTTCCGAGCAAGGGAAACCTTTACCTTTACCATATCTGTTACATTATCGCCTACAATATCCAGTTGTATGTTAACTATTTTTAACACCATCTCAATTATGTATGCATTCTGCTTTGTATTTAAAAAAAATCCTTAAAATCTCTGATTATAGTTATAAGTCTGTATATTTCATTTACTATTGTTTCCCAGCCATTTATAAAGCCTTGGCCATGTCGTCTGGAATTTCCCTTCTACTTGTCCTCTCGAAAATAAAGTCAGTTTGTCCATCTCAGCAGTTTCAAAAGTTTTGCTTATCATTTCTTCTTTTGAAGTTATTTCATCTTTTCTCCAATATTTAGCATACAATATCTTATCATTTCTTCTTTTGAAGGTATTTCATCTTTTCTCCAATATTTAGCATACAATATCCTTGCAGTTGTCAGTATATGAATCATAAAAGTCTTCGGGTTTTTTTTAACAGTTGTTTGGTCTTATATTCAGTAAAAACAGTTCAGGTGTAAAAGGTATGGTACAATCTAACATTTTTTGGTAGCATTTCATGTATCCAAGCCCAATACTTTTTAACTCTATCACAAGACCTCTTTCTTCTTCTTCTTGGAAACAAAGGTTTGATGTAGAATAGCCAACTCCAGTGTGGGAAATACTTGGAGGTTTGGGGGCGGAGCCTGGGGAAGGCGGGGTTGTGGGGAGGGGAATTATTTCCATGGCATATAATGCCACAGAGTCCACCCGCTGAAGCAGCCATTCTCTGTAGTCTATGGAACCGTTTTTATTCTGGGAGCTCTTCAGGGTCCAAATGGAGGCTTGGCAACCTAGCCAACCTAGCAGTTCGAAAGGAAGAAATTGCAAGTAGATAAATAGGTACCACTTCGGCGGGAAGGTAACAGCGTTCCGTGAGCCTTGGTGTTTAGTCATGCTGGCCACATGACCACGGAAATGTCTTTGGACAGCGCTGGCTCTTCGGCTTTGAAACGGAGATGAGCACCGCAACCCTAGAGTCGGATTCGACTGGCTTTCGAGCAAGGGAACCTTTACCTAAGTAACAAAATACAACTGTGATACAATATCTTTGCGTTATCAAAGCTTAGTGTAACTCCTTCACCTGAGAGCCAGTTTGGTGTAGTGGTGAGGAGCACGGACTCTAATCTGGGAGAACCGGGTTTGATTCCCCAGGCCTCCACATGCAGCTGCTGGTGTGACCTTGGGTCAGTCACAAGTTCCCTTAGAGCTGTTCTCTCAAGGGCAGTTCTGGGGAGAGCTCTCTCAGCCCCACCTCCCTCACAGGGTGTCTGTTCTGGGGAGGGGGAGGGAAAGTAGATTGTAAACCGCTCTGAGACTCCTTCGGGTAGTGAAGGGCAGGGAATCGGAATCGGTTCTCCCAGATTAGAGTCCGTGCTCCTAGCCACTACACCAAAACTGGTAAAACGATCAAGTAATAGATGATGTGAAAGATCTCCACCTGAGACCCTGGAGGGCCACTGCCAGTCCGAATAGTCAATACTGACCTCACTGGACCGATGGGCTGCTTCAGGTGTTCATGTCCTCAAATGTTCATGTGAGACAAGCCCTCCCTCGACAGACGCACAGACTGACTCTCTAGAAGGCAGCTTCACATATCTATGAGCGTTCACCTGGGCCCTGACGCCAACATACCATTCAAGGGTTCTTGAAACACATAATTCTAAAACTGCTCTCTCCTACGCCCTGCAAGTTTTTGGCTAATGGAGGCGTTGCTCAGGATCTCTGTGAAATATCTTTCTTTTTTTCTGACAATGCGCCCAGAGTTATTTCTAGGGTGTCAATCCCCGGTTGTGGTTCCATCGTGCTGGGAGCCCCGGGAGAAAGACAGAGGTCGTTTTATTTCTGGCACGCGGCAAAGAAGGTTTCTGGCAAACTGCTGCTTACTTGACAGGCGGCTTCCTGGCCTGTCACAACACACCTGTGCCGGAGCGGGCCTCGGCGCTGCCATTCACATAACTCCCCTCCGTGTGACCTTGTGTTCATTCCGCTTACATAAATCCTATATATAAGCTTCAGGCTTCATTACAGGCTGCGCAAAACCCACTTAGGCCAGTCAATCATCTGCCAACTGTCAGTCACTTAGGTGGTTCATTCATGCCGCAGGTCCAGGCAAATGGTGCCTGCAAAAAATCTCTCTCTCTCTCCCCCCCCCCCCCTCAATAGTTTCTCTTGCTTCAGGGATATCCAGGCCGCTTGCTGGGTCAAACCTCTGTCGTGAGAGAGCCGTCAGAGTGGCACGAGAGAGAAAGTCATTAAATAATGAAAAGCTCCGTCGAGCCCTGAAGTACCCACCCACAGCCGGCCCCGGGTAGCATTTTTCGAAACGGTTATTAAAAGCAGCCTTGAGTCACAAGGAAAGGCTGAGGTATTCTCTGCATACAGAGAACGGAACTGGCAACAGAAAAGGCTGAGTTTTAATACACCATAATTGCCCTGTGCCGATAGCAGATGCGTGTCCTTGGTTGTAAAGGGGGAAAAGACGGTGATGTGTGTTACGTCGCCTCGCATTTTATGTTTGCTTTTGTTCATTTGGTTTAATAAATTAAAAAATCTATATATTCCCCCCCCCCCCCCCCCGTGCCATTCAATAGTTTCTCTTGCTTCAGGGATATCCAGGCCGCTTGCTGGGTCAAACCTCTGTCGTGAGAGAGCCGTCAGAGTGGCACGAGAGAGAAAGTCATTAAATAATGAAAAGCTCTGTCAAGCCCTGAAGTACCCACCCACAGCGGGCCCCGGGTAGCATTTTTCGAAACGGTTATTAAAAGCAGCCTTGAGTCACAAGGAAAGGCTGAGGTATTCTCTGCATACAGAGAACGGAACTGGCAACAGAAAAGGCTGAATTTTCATACACCATAATTGCCCTGTGCTAATAGCAGATGCCTGTCCTTGGTTGTAAAGGGGGAAAGGACGGTGCTGTGTGTGACGTCGCCTCGCATTTTATGTTTGCTTTTGTTCATTTGGTTTAATAAATTAAAAAATCTATATATTTTAAAAGGAGGAGGAGGAAGAAAAGGCTGGGCTATTAACAGGTGACCGGCCAGGTGGCTTCGTGGGACCCGCGCTCCTAACCACTGTTCCCTCTAAGCTGAGCTAGTGTGAGCCAGCGCACAGGTTTTTAGCCTCCGGCTCACCCATTTTTGTCTCCGCTCAAGAAGGATGGGCTTCAGAGCACTCTGAGAGTCCGGCTATGCTTTACATATCGTAAGCAGTACCGAATGAGGGTTCTCCCTTGTAGGAGGAGAAGGAGGAGATTGGATTTATTCCCCACCCTTCACTCGGAGTCTCGGAGCAGCTCACAATCTCCTTTCCCTTCCCCTCCCCACAACAGACACCCTGTGAGGGAGGTGGTGCTGGGAGAGCTCTCCTGAGAACTGCCCTTGAGAGAACAGCTCTGAGAGAACTCGTGAATGACCCAAAGTCACACCAGCAGCTGCATGTGGAGGAGTGGGGAATAAAACTCGGTTCTCCCAGATTAGAGTCCAGGATCCCAACCACCGCACTAAACTGGCCTCTCAAGATCTGTCCTGGGTGTCTTCGAAGCAGGGCCAACATCCCGTTCTAGCCCTCCCTGTGTTTCTCCCAGAGTTCTTTGACCCTCTCTGTTACCCACATCAGGACTGGTTTACTGAATTCCCTTTGCCAACATGGGGACTGCTTCCTTTACCTTCTGTCTGCTGCTGACTTAACTGTTCACTCTTCATGAGGAAATGTCTCTCCCCCCCCCCCCGAGGGACACAAAGCTCCATTACAATGCATCTCAAGGTCCAGCAACTAACACTATACCAGTGGAAATAATTCTACCTTTCTGCAATGTTTAGTATGTATGATATTCATGGTTTCTTCCTCGATTTCTGCAGGGGACCATTTGTAGTTTTGGCATGTGCTCAGGTTCCTATAGTACTCCAGGACGATGGAACAGAATTTCCATTCTAACATATTGTTGGAAAATAGGCAAGAATACTTAAATACTTACTTGGAGGTTTGCAATGGATCTTTGCTTCACTGGACAGGAGGCATTTCTTTCTGTTTAAAAATCTTTATTTCTAAGGGTAGGGTACACGGGAAACCTACAAAATGACAAAGACTAACGCTACATCTTCAGAGCTACAAAAAGACCGACCACGCTGTCTCTCAACAGCAACAACAACAACAATGGAGATTCTTCTTCTTCTTGAGCCCCAGGAGGAAATCACCTGATTACATCAACCAATGATGTTTGTAAACAGACTTCAGTTTTGCCATTGGCTCTATGCCAGCTTTCCTTCCAGGTCAGGCTAAACAATAGCACACAAGGTGTGCAGATTAACCCTACAATGACTGGAATTAAGACCTTGCAACTCACATATTCCCAACATCTATAACCTGAACATTGCCAATAAGCAACACAAACATGGAGATAGATCAAGACGGGTAGCCATGTTAGTCTGTCTTTACAGCAGAAAAGAGCAGGAGTCCAGGAGCACCTTAAAGATGAGCAAAATTTGTGACAGGGGATGAGTTTTCGTGAATCACTGCTCATTTCTTCAGATATCTGTAGGGCTAGATGTGGTGCCTTCTATGGAGATAGATCAAGATGGGTCGCTGTGTCAGTCTGTCTGTAGCAGTAGAAAAGAGCAAGAGTCCAGCAGCACCTTAAAGACCAACAAAATTTGTGGAAGGGGAGGAGCTTTCGTGAGTCATTGCTGAAGAAGTCAGCAGAGACTCACGAATGCTCATACACTTCCACAAATTTTGTTAGGTTTTATAGAATCATAGAATGTTAGAGTTGGAAGGGACCTTGCAGGTCATCTAGTCCAACTCCCTGCACTCTGCAGGAGCATAGCCAAAAGATAGCCCTACATACCTACAACATTCCCGAAAGATGGTCGTCCAGCCTCCGCTTGAAAACGTCCAGCGAAGGAGCATCCACCACCTCCCGAAGCAGACTGTTCCACTGCTCAACCACTCTAACAGTTAGGAAGTTTCTCCAGATATTTAGCCGGTATCGACTCCCTTGTCTTGCAATCCGGAGCAAGAGAGAACAGATCTGCTCCATCTTCTACATGACAGCCCTTCAAATACTTGAAGACTGCCATCATGTCCCCTCTAAGCCTTCTCTTTCCCAGGCTAAACTTACCCAACTCTTTCAGCCTTTACTCTTAAGACTTGGACTCCAACCCTCTCACCGTCCTGGTTGCCCTCTTCTGGACACGCTCGAGCTTGTCAACATCCTTCCTAAAATGTGGTGCCCAAAACTGGACACAGGACTCCAGGTGAGGCCTGAGTCCATAGCAGAATAGAGCGGAACCACCACGTCCCTTGATCTGGACACAGTGCTTCTGTT